CACAAACCTATACACATAGTGAGACCAGGGTGGCAGTTGGTTAATTATGGCCTTTCTTTAGGTATTGAGAGACAAATACGTTGTGCTTTTTTTTGTTTTTTTTTAATGCTCTCTAGTTTTGAGTCAGGTTGAAGTGGTTGGTTGCTATGTCATGTGGGCCTTGCATGTGTAGGATTTCCATCCTCGGACGGTGGTTCAGCCTGATTTGAAAGGGGAGTATCTGCCTTGACTTTCTCTAGTGCCTACCCTAAGGATAAAAAGAGGAAGAAGAGGATTTATCAGTGTTGTAGAGAAAGGTATTCCTTCTTCCTCTCATCAAGCCTACCATGAGGCATTTATTTGTGAGAAGGTACCAGCCCCTGTCACTTCATTAGGATTCCAGGGTGTTCTTAAGACAGACTGTTACTGCTAGATGGCCACAGTTTAGCTGCTTCTTAAAGATCTTAGGAAAGTAGTCAATATTTTTTTAAAAATTATTAAGGTCTAATTTACATACTTTTTTTGATTACATGAAATATATCTCATGGGAGAAGTTTGACTTTAGTTCGCTGGCCTGTTCTCTTTTACTGGTTTTCTTTCCACATGGAAGTTTAGCCTGATAATGGGATAAGAAAGCTGAGGTAATGAAGTTGGTCCCATAAGGTCTACTAAATGAATGTCAAACTCCTTAGCTGGACAATACAGGCTGTCCACAGTCAGGCCCCAACCTGCCATTCTCTGAGGCCCAGCCAGACTTGGATGCACGGCTGATCCCTGCAAATACCCTGTGCTTCTTGCCTCCAGACCTTTGCTTACACTGTTCCCTTTAGCTGGAAGGGCCTCTCCCCAGTTCTACCTTTTGAAATCCTAAATCTTCATTGAGAACCAATTCAAAAAGCAGTATCTCCTTGTAGCTTCCCTAGATGTGATCTGTACAAACTAGATGTGATCTGTACTCCCTGTGAATCCTTCTATGCCTTGGTTTGTCCTCCTTTTGGGCTTCTTGCTACAACATCCTTAGTATACTATACCGTCTGTCACCTAGTAAGCTCCACAAGACAATAAACTTTGCTCTTGTATCTCCCATGTATCTAACACATACTCCATGTAAAGAAGACTAAGTATTTTTTCTTTGAGACAGAGTTTTGCTCTTGTTGCCCAGGCTGGAGTGCAATGGCGTCATCTCTGCTCACTGCAACCTCCGCCTCCCGGGTTCAAGCGATTCTCCTGCTGCCTCAGCCTCCCGAGTAGCTGGGATTACAGGCATGCACCACCATACCCGGCTAATTTGTATTTTTAGTAGAGACGGGTTTCTCCATGTTGGTCAGGCTGCTCTTGAACTCCCAACCTCAGGTGATCCACCTGTCTCAGCTTCCCAAAGTGCTGGGATTACAGGCGTGAACCACTGTGCCAGGCCAGAATAAGTATTTAAATAGTGGAAGAATGGTATTTTTCCACACATAGCCGAGTGAAGAATTAGCTTTTTTGTCTTTTTTGAGACGGAGTCTCGCTCTGTCACCAGGCTGGGGTACAGTGGCGTGATCTCGGCTCACTGCATCCTCTGCCTCCCGGGTTCAAGTGATTCTCCTGCCTCAGCCTGCCGAGTAACTGGGACTACAGGCATGCATCACCATGCCCAGCTAATTTTTGTATTTTTAATAGAGATGGGGTTTCACCATGTTGGCCAGGATGGTCTCCATCTCCTGACCTTGTGATCTGCCCACCTCGGCCTCTCAAAGTGCTGGGATTACGGATGTGAACCACCATGCCCAGCCAAGAATTAGCTTTTTAAAAAAAAACAAAAAACAAAAAAAACATGTGACTGTGACTTAGGCCTTACAAAATTTTCTGAGATAGAAGAGCCCTGGTCTGAGAGTCACCCAGCATGCAGTTCTAGATGAGGCCGTGTGCATATCTGGACCTGACTTTCATTGTCTTTGAGGAAATTTTCTAGCTCTTAGTCGAACAAAATTTCAGCAGGAAAAAGAGGCAAAGTAGATTTAGGGAAAATCCACATCACGGGTTTGGAAAACAAATCAAAGTTACGACAAAGGAATTGTTGAAGGAATTGGGAATGTTAGGCCTGGTAGAGAAGATCTAGGAAAGACCCAGACTCATTAAATGCTAGAGCTGGAAAGAAACTTAGAGAATATCTAAGGGATTTCCTTTATCAGATAGAAAGTTGGACAAAATGACCTCTGAGGCTTTAGCAGTCTGCAAAATTCTTTTTGTATTTGCAGTTCTGATTGATAGAAAAGGAAATTCTTGTTCAATTTTTTTTGCATTCTCAACTGTGAATGATAGTCCAGTTCAGAATCTCAGACCTCAGATACTACATTTCTATGTCTTTTACAAAACCATAGCTTAAAGCATTGTCCATCCTGTTCATATTTCTTCTTCATTCAGCATTCGTAAATTCATCAAACAAAATCCAGATAGACTTGGGTACCATTTTTTATTGGGAAGTTAGAGTTAGACAACTTCCTTTTTTGCCTTGTTTGCCAGGGAACTTAGAACCAAACGTGTTCCTCATCTGAAGTAAATGACTCACACCAGTGCTTGATATATCTGCTTCCCCACTTTTTCTTTTTAATTGACTTAATGTTTTTTGAAAATTGTGAAAGGAACACATGCTGTGCTTAAAAACACAAGCCCAAATAGTACAATTCCCAATGTGCAGAGTTAACTACTGGCAAAATCTTTTTGACTTTGATCTGTGTTTATTTTGTTTTTACTTAGCTTGTGCTGTATGTGTTTTAATTTTTTTGTTGTTTTATTTTGTTTTGTTTTGTTTTGAAGATGGAGTCTCAGTCTGTCACCCAGGCTGGAGTGCAATGGCACAATCTTGGCTCATTGCAACCTCTGCCACCTGGGCTCAAGCTATTCTCCTGCCTCAGCCTCCCGAGTAGCTGGGACTACAGGCACCCACCATCCTGCCTGGCTAATTTTTATATTTTTAGTAGAGGTGGAGTTTTGCCATGTTGGCCAGGCAGGTCTCGAACTCCTGACCTCAAGTGATCTGCCCACCTCGGCCTCCCAAAGTGTTAGGATTACAGGTGTGAACCACCGCTCCCAGCCTCCTAAATTCATTTTAACATCTTCCTTCCTTCCCTCACCAAACTAATTTGTGCTTAATTCAAGTTCTGTTCTTTTCCTTACTGTATTTGTTCTAATCTTTGAAACCCATAATAACATCCAGTGTTTCTCATTGTCACTGAGAATGAGGTTGCTTCATGATGCTCTTCTTAGTAGGAGTGACTGACAGAATGTCTTCCTTGCTTTAGGAAATGCAGGACTCAGGCAGTGAAAATGCATTCAGTTTTGATTCTGTCACACATAGCCCAGAATGCACCTCTTGGACAGCACCTCCTTGTCTGCTGCCTCTGCCATTCTCCTGACTGCTTTGAGTGTGTAAACTGAGGGTAAAAAAGGGGCTTTTTGTTAGGGTTTGGGTATTTTCATTTTCAAATCATCTGACACTGATTTTTAAGAACTCTGTTTCAAGAACTTTAAGCAGTAGGTGGGTATTTCACTCTTCATGGTTTTGCTACATCCTATCTCATTTGGGCTTGCATATGGTAAGATAGTGTGTTTTACTTGCAACTTCCAACTGAGCCAAAGGCCACAGTATTGCAGGTAGAAGTCGAAGTCTTGGAACTAGATTTTGGGCTGTGTGTGCAAAGGTGTGAAAACACCTCTGTTAAGAGAATATGAAGAAGAGAGCCTAGATTGCAGATAGAAAAACACAAACTTCTTACTGAAATCACCCATTTGTGGTGACTCTATATAAAGACAGGTTCCACTGGATGTGAAAAGTAGAAACTTTTTTTTTTTTTTTTTTGAGACAGAGTCTCACTCTGTCACCCAGACTGGGGTGCAGTGGCATAATCTTGGCTCACTGCAACCTCCACCTCACAGGTTCAAGTGATTCTCCTGCCTCAGCCTCCTGAGTAGCTGGGACTACAGGCGTGTGCCACCACGCCCAGCTAATTTTTGTATTTTTAGTAGAGATGGGATTTCACCATATTGGCCAGGCTGGTCTTGAACTCCTGACCACAGGTGATCCACCCGCCTCAGACTCCCAAAGTATAATGGCATGAGCCTCTGCACCCGACCTCGTAAGGCTCTTTCGATGTGTCACTCTTCTCAGATTTCCAGGGGCTGCTAAATCATGTCTATTCAAGGGCTTCCAAAATTTGCCTCAGACCTTTATTTCCAATACCATTTCCTAGGACTTCTAGCAGCAGCCAAGCTAGTGTCCTTTTCCATAAACCTGGATTGTATAGCTCCCTCCGCACCTTCTCCCACCTTGCCTTTTACTTCTTTACTCTGCATCATTTATAGCATGTCACAACAGCATGTCTTGTCAGAAGACCTGGGTTTTGTCCCAGGTTGGTTAGATGTGTGATCTAGGTCAAACTATTTTTCCTCACTGAGCCTCTGTTTCCCCATATGTAAGAGAAAGAGACTGCACTTCTAGGGTCCCATTGGTTCTTTTCAACCCTACCATTGTGTGGGTCAGCGTCAGTCTTAGCTTTTTCTTTGGACTCCCGAGGACATAGGGCCCTTTCTTTAGTGTTTCGGCAGTGTTTACCAGTCATTGTTTGGGATTGTAGTTAACATTTTTTTGTCCTGTCTTTAGCTACTTTTTGAAGATATGTTTGTGAACTGAGAAAGCTCCCTGCTAGAGCTAGTTTCCTAGGATGTGGGTGAGGGAGAGGGCTATTGAATGAGTTCTACTTTGAACTTTTGTCTTGCATCCAGAAGCCAAGAGGAAATGGGGTTTGTAAAATATTTTCTCTTATGCTTCTTATTGGGAGAATGAGATGTTTCTTTGAAAGGGAGTGCATATTTACCACTTTGGCACAGAAAGAAGGATGTGGTCTCCTGGAGACATCCTTCTAGTATGCTGTGAGGCTGCTATGTCTGTGCTGTTTGGGTTGGCCTTCCATCTTTTCAAGGTGCCAGTGTCTTGGCATTTAGGGTTGGATGATCACTTCATCTTTCACTGTGCCTTTCAGGGCCCTGTTTGACTATGATCGGACTCGGGACAGCTGCCTGCCAAGCCAGGGGCTCAGCTTCTCTTATGGTGACATTCTTCATGTCATTAATGCCTCTGATGATGAGTGGTGGCAGGCAAGGCTGGTGACCCCACACGGAGAAAGTGAGCAGATCGGTGTGATCCCCAGTAAGAAGAGGTGAGTCATCATGATCATGAGCAAGGCCTTTCCTGCCCTCTTGCTGGTATTTCTTTCTTGTTTTCCTATTAGAAGTTGCTTGAGAACAACATTTGTGCCTTGCTTCCTTTTTGGTAGAGTCGGTACTCAACATAGTTTTTACTTAGTGAGCCAAAAAAATGGCTGCTGTGCCTGCTGCAACCCACTGCTGGACCATTTACTGGCAGTAACAGGACTTCTTTCTGATTCTAAAACAGGGTAGAAAAGAAAGAAAGAGCTCGATTGAAAACTGTGAAGTTCCATGCCAGGACGGGGATGATTGAGTCTAACAGGGTAAGTGGGGATTCCCAAGGAAATCAGCCAGTAGGTAAAGAGGGGCGAGAAGCTTGGAATTTAGTCTGATGTGTAGGAGAACTGGGGAACACAAAAGAAAATCTCTTTTTCAGGGGGCTGGCTCTGTCCTGTCAGAACATTGACTGCTTTTCAGAAAGCAGAGAGGGAGCTCTTAAAGTCCACAGCTAGTCTGTGCTCCTTCCCCCTGGGTACTGGCTCTTGAAGATGTGTTGGAGTTGGACTGTCTGGAAGGCTGACTTGCTTGGGGAAAATGAAGCCACTCATGGGTGTCTCCCTGGCTATAGATCCTGTCAGAGCATCCAGCCAAGAAGCCCAGTCCCAGAGCTCCCACCTCCCTTCAGACCACCTGAGGCAGGGGGGCTCTCTATTCACCCCTTTTTTTCTATGAGCTTCACAGGCCAAAGAACTTCTGGAGCAGTAGAGGGAAGAGAGACGTGGAGTAGATGACTCTGTGTATATCAGTGGTACCTTAGGGCATGTGTCCAGGAGGCTACAGTGACCTTTGTTCTTTAGGAAGTACCAGTGAGTGTTATGAGTCTGGGTTAGGTAGAAACCTCTAACATCCCTACAACATTTTCTTGTAAACATAATTTTCCTCTTACATCAACTTTCATTTAATCTCATAGACTCCATTTGTGAGAGATGGTCTTTTATTTAGCTCACCGTTGTCTCCATTTTAGTTTTTCTTGCATGCTTTAAAATCCATTGTTCTGTTTTTTTTTCTTCTGTCCTTCCCCTCCATCTTCATGTTCTTTCACAGTCGATCAAAAAGAAACGTAAAAAGAGTTTCCGCCTCTCTCGAAAGTTTCCATTTTACAAGAGCAAAGAAAACATGGCCCAGGAGAGCAGCATACAGGAACGTAAGTAGCAGCAGAGTCCAGAGAGCAGGCCGTCTGCAGCCCTGTCCTCTCGTCATCAGTTGCCCTTCCCTCAGGAGAAGCCTGGGCAGGGCCACGTGTGGCCCCGTGCATGCCTGTGTGTGCGTGCACCTGCTTATCTACAGAGTCAGGGCAGAAATTGGTCTACATAAGAAGATGTTGGGTTTTATTTGTCCTGCTCCTCAGTTAGAATGAATGTTGAAGGCACTGAGGTGGGACTGGTCCCAGGGTCCCAGGAAGTGCTTGGCACTAGCAATGGAAGTGCCAGACAGAGCTCTGCTGTGGTGGTGAGGAACGGTTTTTCAGCTAGAGTGTCAGGGTCAGGAAAATGGTTTTTCAAGAGAACGAGGTCTAGGGACTCGGTGTTGCTCTCCTGGTTTCTTCCTCTTGTGTTTTCTTTCCCTTAACTTCACTCATGTATGTCAAGAGAAGAGCCTTTTCTTCCCAGGATCCCTGGAGTTGGGGCTACTTCCGGAATCCCAGGCACGTGCATAAGCATACAGGATATCCACACAACTCTCAGCAGACTTGCTGTCATCCTAGAGTGCCTACAGAGCCAGTTTCCCCAGGAGAATCCTTCCTGCTTAAATGAATTGACACGGAAGGAGTGTTGCTCCACATTGTTCAAATAAAGATCGGTTGAAAAACACAAAGTTGGTTTGGTAGGAAGAGCAGTCACACTGAGCTAAATTCAACTGAAGAAGAAATTTAATCCTGATAAATCTTCTTGCTCTACCATGTGCCTCAGCAATTAACTGCTCCAACCCTAACCTTAAACACCAGGTCTGGCTTGAAAAATGTTTTCTCATTTGTCTCATCATGAGTGGTAAACATCTCTCATTTACCAGTGACTCCTCTGACTTACATGGAGGGATCTTGGGGTCTTGGGCTATTGGGGCTGGCAGGAGACTGACTGGTTCTGATAGGAAATGTCCTTCTGTCAGGCCAGCCTGGTCCACGGTCATGGTATGTGTAAGTCGTTGCTATCTGGGTGGTACCTGGTGGACAAAAGGGTGCCCTCATCCAGATGGCAACCACAGCTCATCGTCCTGGAGTAGTTCAATGAGAAGCCATAGATGAGGTGGCTCTGCTCATGAGCAGTTAGGAGACAGTCCGAGTCAGAGGCCTGAGGTGATGTCACCATAATTTCATCAGATAAGTCCCAGTGTCCCAGAGTCCCTCCATGCCAAGCCCAGCCTTGGGGGGATGTTCATTGCTCAGTGGTCCCGCCTGGTGGGCGAGGTGGGGGTATCTGTTGGACGACAGAGTTGAAAGTGCCTAGTGCTTCTCCAGAAGCTGAGCTCATCCCCCAAGGTCTGCCTGGCTCAGGGCAGCTTTGGAGGCCACACCCCACACCATGCGAAAATTTTCCTGAAGAGTTTGAACCGAGTGAATCAGTATTGAGCGAAAGCTTCTTGAGGTAATGGGAATTCTGTCTGCCTACCTGGCACACGTGGGCATTTGCTCTTTCACGCACTGCGGAGGGAAATGGTGATTTCAGGGCCAAACAGAGACCTGGGCTCCACAACCAAAATTTGGTCAAAGCAGGTGCTCTAAGCCTTGGAGTGTCACCTGTCCTGTCCCATTGGCCTATAGCCGTAGACACCTCAGAAAGCTAGTCTACTCCAAGGCCCTCTGGCAACGAATTGGGCAGCATGAAGTCTTGATGTCTTATCTGCCCTGGGATGTTCTTTCTGTGGCAAAGTTCCTGGCCTTACTATAGTGCTAGGTCTTCATGGTGTTTCATAATTCTGTCACTAGTGCTCACCTGCCTCTGTATTCTTCCTCCCCCCTTGTCTTTTTCTCTATTTTTTCTCTTCTCCCCAAATCTCTCCCTCTCTTCCATTCCCTCCCATCCCTTCCCCTTCCCCCTTCTTCTTCTCCCGCTCGTCCTCTCTCCGCCCTTGCTGTCTGTGAAATCAGGACTTCCCGGGGTTAAGTGACGATTATTATGGAGCAAAGAACCTGAGTAAGTCCAACTTACACACCGTTCACTGTATTTGTGGCATGAATGGAGATAGTGGGGGTGGGGCTATTGGGGACATGGGTGAGGGTCAAGGGTGAGAGGAGGGCAGTGTTTGTGAGCACTCTGACATCACAGCAGGAAGAAGTGCATGTGGCTCCAAATGTTACATGTTTGCTCTGGATCCCTAGTACCCAAATAAGTCCCTATCATTCATGCCTTTGTTTACCTTTTGCTACTCAAAGTGGCAGGGCATGAGCTTGGCGTCCCACCTTAGAAGTGAAATGGGCTTGAAATATTTCTCCAAGGTAACCACTCAGCTAATCTCTAGCCTATTGTCGAAGGGAGGGGTCCTGCTGGTTGGATTCTTCTTCCAGTGATACCACGCTAAAGAATTGGGTGTAGGAACTGCAGCTCTTACAGTCCCTCTAACTAGGGGCAAGGGTACTGTGACCCCCTTTTCCCAACCCGCATCTGGGATGTCCCAGCAGATCCAGGGCCTCAGCAAACAGCACCGGTGGGCTTCCCACAGAGCACCTGTAAGGGGTTGAGCTGGTCTGCTAGGGGCCTCGGCACCATTTATGGACCATATATAGTTAGTGCTTTATCTCAGGAAAACTCTGACCTCATTTTCCTTTCTGGAAAAGAATCCTAGAGTGGAAAATGAAAAAGACCTAGATGATGAGGCTTAGTGGCCATCCTGCCGTGTGCAAGGGTGCACAGACATGCAGCCTTGCCGAATGGGTTCTGTCAGCATATACTCTCCTTCAATAAATAATGAAGGCCAAAAGCAAAGGAGTTGCCTATGGGGATTGTTCAGGAACTAGCCATGTGTGGCAACTCAGCCAGTCCTTTCTGGGGGGGGCCACAGCATATCATGGTCTGGAACAGTGTGGTCTTGGCTGAAATGAGCAGCATCTCTCTCCATAGTTTGGTGTGTCCATGTCTCATCTTCATTCGCGTGTCATCTTGGATGGGCGGGCTTTGTTTGTGCCTCCTGTGAGCGCTGCTCCTCCGCTTGAGCTTTCTTTTCCCTCACCGCTAAGAGATGGGCAGATCCCAGCTGTGTGAGACAGGAGGGCTGTCTTGTCCTCAAGGTGTTTTTGTTGGTTTTGTTGTCTGTGTTTTGACATGTGTCTGGTGGTGGATGGAAGTGCTTCCCCTCTCACCACTGAAGCCAAGCTCTCCTGCTTTGGAGTGGTGGCAGGAAGGCTGGGGATCCCACCGAATGGTCGGGGCAGCGCTGCCTGGTGTCTGCTTAACCCATCCAGTGTTTGGCCTCTTAGTTGTGGAGTGCCACATGGTTCTGTACTTCGGGGACTCTGTCGGGCGGGGGACACCCATGAGCAGACTGGTCCCTGGACTTCTCTTTGCTCCTGTCACTGCCTTTTCTTTCCTGTTGTTAGCCTTGGGCGATGCATTTTGAAATAGGACTTGGAAACCATCCAGGTCAATTTGTTTGATTCAGGTGAAGAGGATGCTGCTGAAGGAAGTATGACTTGTAGCGCATAGGGAGGGACTTGGCAGACCAAGAGGGCTCTGGGGACAAGTACGAGAGGGCCAGGGGCTCAGGATTGGAGCTGTGCCTTCCAGTTGGTAGCCTGGATGTGGCAGGCCTCCTGTGGCCTGACTCAGTTGGCAGCTTAGTGTCTCGCTCCTGGAGAATTTGAGTTTTGTGCTGCATGTGACCTCTCAGTGGTGTGTTCTGAATTGGAGTCTCTTTCTTGTTGGCTTGCAGAGGGAGTGACATCCAACACCAGTGACAGCGAAAGCAGTTCCAGTAAGTGTGTGTCATTCCTTCCATGTCATGTAGCTCCACCGTGTATCCCAGCCATCCTCATTCCAGTGTCGCTCAGCTGCCATTGCTGCTCAGAGGCTGGTGCTTCTTTTAGCCATGTACACTTTGAGATCCTGGAAATGCTGTGGCCAGTTCATTCTCCTTATGGGTTGGGGTTCACCCCATGGGTTAAAGGAGAGTATAAGCCCTAGAGTTCTGGCCAGGACCTGACTTAAAAGCATCCTTGGCACTGGAAAGGGTAAACTGCCAAAGAGTAAATCGCTGCCATGGCTACTGTGGGCCATAGGTGCTGCCAGATTTATAGATTTGCTCAGAGACCAAAAGAAAAATGGCTCCTATAGGTCACTGCTCTAAATCTGCCTTTCCAGGTCATTAGGACCTCTTTGCCTTTGGGGCCAGTTAAAGGATCAGGTAATTGCCAAGTTCTCCTTGGGAGATCCTGTGACCAGACCAGAGAAACCATAATTCAAACCTCATGAACTTTGGGAGCACTGATCTTTCAGGAGCTATGGTGGCTAGAAGCCTTGTAAAATCTGCCCAGGAGTCTTAGGCTCAGAAGAAGCCTTTTAGCAAGCATTGTGTGCCTTGATGCAAATATCACTGTCTTCCCTGGGACTGCCATCAGCCACTTTGGGACCTCCAGGCACCCAGCACCAAGTGGCTTAATGACTGTTTTAGGAAAACCTTAACATTGCTAGGCTCGACATGGAGCTCCACCAGAAAGAGACAGCAGGCTCAGCATTGCTCTTAAAGGGCACTGGGGACCTTAGCAGAGCCATGTGCCACTTTTCTGGATGCTGCTTCCAATGCAGGAGGTGGGTCGGTAGACCTTTAAAAGGGCAAAGTTAGGCCGCAGCTTTGGGGACCTGGGTATGTGCCCTGACTCCCCTGCATGTAGATGAAGGGGACTCAGGCAAGCATCTCAACCAGTCGAAGCGTCCCTGTCATTCTTACTAGAGCGAGGGGGCTACTGCACACAGCTGACTTGTTACCTACAAGAAGAGTTCCTCAGAAATTGGGGTGGTTTGGGGTGGAGGTTTCATGGCTTCTGGGCCTTGGCCCCTTGCCCAGTGATATTTCACTGAGCAAGATAACTGCTGACTCCTGTCTCAGAGCCAGTGAAGGGTTTCCTGTGCTTTCTCACCAGCAGAAAACAGAAAGGATCACAGGTGGTAGCAAGGACCACCCGATAAGGCTGTGTCCTGACAGGGGAGGAGTGCGGGGAGTGTTGTACAGAAGAAGGCAGATCATATGGTGCTAACCTATCTCCCTTTTTTGTTGCAGAAGGACAAGAGGATGCTATTTTGTCATATGAGCCAGTGACACGGCAAGAAAGTAAGCCCCCTCTGAGAGCCTTGTCTTTGTGCTGGTCTGGTCGTGGGGCTCAATACAGTGGGTGGCTATGGCAGCAGAGGGAGGGACCTGGAGGAGGAGGAAGGCTCGACTTATGGCACATCCAGCCCATGGGCTCCTTCTTCTCTTCTGCTTCTTCCTAGTGTCATAGGGAAGGGGGTGCATCCAGTGTGCACTTCTCTCTGTGCCTTTGCCTGCTGCCAGGACACCTTCCAAAGGAGGGGGCAAATTTACAAGGAAGGTCTATTTCAGTAGATGTAGCCACTGCTAAAAGAGAGGTCCAGGTTCTTCCCTTCAGTGGCTGCTCTGCAAAAACCTTGCTCAGTTACTGGTGTCAGTGCAGAGATTCTTTCTGACTGTGTTAGAAGGGGAGCAGCTTCCGGTTTCGGACTTGCCTTGAACTTAGATATTCTCAAATTGAAGGCTCTTTGATGTCTTTTTGTTGAAAAGCCAGACAATGGCTGAAGATGCTTTACCCTGTCTGAGTCTCTGCTCCAGAGCCTCTGTGTTCTAGCCAGACTCAGGGGTAGGACAGGCTGTCTGGTGGGGGCCTCTGTTCACTGTCTCGATGCTCTCCCTCTCTAGTTCACTATGCAAGGCCTGTGATCATCCTGGGCCCAATGAAGGACCGAGTCAATGATGACCTGATCTCCGAATTTCCACATAAATTTGGATCCTGTGTGCCACGTAAGAGTCCAGGAAGGCCCAGAGGATTGAGGCTTGGTGCCCTGGGAATTGTTCCTGTAATGTTTTATGGAAAAGGTCTGGGATCAGATTCTAGGGCTATTTGAGGACAGGGTACATTTGACACCCTGGAAAAGAGTAGGTGGCAATATATTCCCCAAAAGCTGATGGGGTTGGAGAGATTAAGCCATCAGGCTTGGCTGCTCACTCTCTTGAGGGGAAGTTTCAGTGGTGATGGTTGGGAATGGTTGGACAAATAGGGAGGCCCAGCCAAAGTGGTGCTGATGTGACTCCATGAACAGTTTGTTAGGTTTATTGTCTCCTCTACCAAGTTTGGCACCCTCTGCCATGCCTTAGCTCACCTTTCTGGTCCAGTTTAAGCTAAAGCAAATAGCCCCCTGTGTGAGACCTGGAGATTGGAAGAGAAGTAGGCCAGACAAACTGTTTCCCAACTGCTTGTTTTCTCCCACTTACTTGAGGAAAAAAAAAAAAAATGGAGTGGCCCAGTGACCCACCCAGATGAGAATGGACCACTCAGTATTTTTTGACTTGGGGTGGATCATTGCCCCTGGGCTACAAAGCATTTCCTTTTTTCCTTCAGATACTACCCGACCTCGACGTGATAATGAGGTGGATGGACAAGACTACCACTTTGTGGTGTCGCGCGAACAAATGGAGAAAGATATTCAGGACAACAAGTTCATTGAAGCAGGCCAATTTAATGATAACCTCTATGGGACCAGCATCCAGTCAGTGCGGGCAGTTGCAGAGAGGGTAAGTGTAGAGGAGATGGCCTCAAAGGGAAGGCCAATGCTCACGCCAAGGTTCCACTTGGATCCTTATCCTTCCAACACAGGAGCTGCCCAACAGTGCTGCTGACCAAAGCCATAGCACCTCTGCATACTCCCAGTCCCTTGACGAAGCTATCTGTCTCCTTCATACAACTCACCCCAGAGCATCACCCAACAGGGAATAGGGGACCCTGGACAGATGTGGCCTTTTCTGGGTAATAGGAGCAAAAAGTGGGGCCTGTCTACTTCAGGGATCCAGTGTTTTAGGCCACTTTGGGTGGCCCTGGTGCCCCTCCCCTCAACCCCACCCCCAGCCAAGGTGGATGTTTAGAATGTCACTGGATTTCTGCTTGGGGCTCAGTGAATAGGGAGTGACTGGGCTGATACAATCTCTGCTTTTTCAGGGCAAGCACTGCATCTTAGATGTTTCCGGCAATGCTATCAAGAGACTGCAGCAAGCACAACTTTACCCCATTGCCATTTTCATCAAGCCCAAGTCCATTGAAGCCCTTATGTAAGTGTTTAACTGAGAACTCAGACACACCAAGCTAAGATCGGGTCTGGAAGGGAAATGGAGAAGAAAGTGATTTGCTGGGCAGAAACTTGAAAGAAACTCTGTGCCCCAGCTCTGGTCACTGGGCGCTCCTGTTTTGAGGGCTTGTGCATATGTTCTCGGTTGGACTTTTGAACGCAGAAGGTTTGAGGAGTTAGCCATGGGCCACTGCTGCTCTGAGAGGGCAGCTTAGCAGACTTTTAGGGATCCTGGAGTAATCCTTTATGGTTAATCAGAACATAAGATCTGGTTCGGAACTATTTTTCTTCTGTCTTTGGCAGGGAAATGAACCGAAGGCAGACATATGAACAAGCAAATAAGATCTATGACAAAGCCATGAAACTGGAGCAGGAGTTTGGAGAGTACTTTACGGGTAAGACTCCTGCTGCCCTGCGGGGGGTTCTGGGGGACTAGCCAGGTACCTGTTTCTATAAGTGTCTCAAAGCGGTGTAGACAGAATGTAGAAACCTTGCACGGAGTTTCCAGTTGCTTTTAAGCTTTTGAGCACAAACCTTTCCAAAGCACTCAAGTTCCCCGTGTCCAGCCATAGCAGCTCAGCCAGTTTATAGCATAAACCACTCACCAAATGCTTCCTTGAATTGTTGGTTTGTTCATTTTGTCTTGTCCTTACTAGATTGTGGTCTCCCTGTATTACTCTGTCTCCCTCCGTTTCAGCTCCCCTCTCCCTCCCCCAGTACTTTGCTTTGCATGTTTAGGTGCTGAATAAACGTTTGTTGATGATGATGATTCCTCAGTGTGGTGTTCAAGTTGTCTGTTGGGGTGCCTGTCTCTGTGTGTGTGTGTGTGTGTGTGATCATCTACTTTAGAAGGTCAGTTCCTGAAACATTGGGAAGGTTTCTATGTAATAACGTTCTTCACCTTTTGAAGTACAGTGATAGATACATATATGCATGCAAGGCAGTGCTGAATCCATTCTAGCTGGTGGTGACACTAGGTTAACTGTGTAAAGAATTCATAAATGTCCTCACACACCTTGGGTCTTCAGAGCTCCCTTTACCATCAGCATCCATGTCCTTGTTTGCTGGGCTGACCTCTGACATATAGCAGATGCAATGGGCCCAGGAGCACTGCCTCTTGCCAGAAATTGTGGCTTTCAGCTCTTTCTGTGGAGAACTGCAGTTTTCCAAATCTTTTAGTAAGGCTGCTTTAGAATAACAAGCTGCTGGCCTTATGGCACCCAAGAGCAACATGAACTGCAAGGTCTGGCACATAGTGGGTGCTCAATAAACATCTTTTGAATAAACACATTTTTCTGGTCATTACTACTTAGTCTCACTGTCTCAGTGAGTTGACTTCAAGCCCTGGGCTTGGGGCACCTAGTTGGTTGCCCTTACTGCCCTGAACACACAGGCAGCCAGCCAGTGAACCCAAGCCCAAACCCATACTCCTGGGAACATGTCCTTCATGTGAGGGGTTGGGGGTGTGGAGGGGGGACTTGTAGGATTGTTGGGAGAGGCAGGATTGCTGGGTTTGGGGGATGTGCTGTGGACCACAGTAATAATTTTGTTTTCCTCTTCACTTTAGCCATTGTACAGGGTGACTCACTGGAAGAGATTTATAACAAAATCAAACAAATCATTGAGGACCAGTCTGGGCACTACATTTGGGTCCCATCCCCTGAAAAACTCTGAAGAATCCCCTCCAACCATTCTCTTGTGAACAGAAGAAATCAAGTCCCTCTTCCCTCCTCCCTCTTCATTCCTGTCCCCATGGGGAGAACAAATGCTACTGTTCTTGTCCCCTTTTTTAGATATGTCAAAAAAAAATTGAGTTTTCTAGTCCTGTTCTTTTTTTTAAATTTTTTTGTTTGTTTCAGTTTATTTTTTGGGATGATGCCATCTCATTCATCATGTGACTGTGCCCATTCCTGCATGGACCTTTCCCAAGCGCTAGCACAGGTGCAAAATCCATCAGAGCCATTGTTTTCATAAAAACTAAGCAGAAGTGAAGAGAAAAGAGGAGGACTGATGGAAAGACAGACTCTGGACAGCTGCACGGCTTGTGAAGTGAGCTAAATGCACCACATGATGAGATGCTCCTGGGCATTTCTCCCTATCTGTACTGCTGTCTTGCAGCTCTGAACGGTGCAACGTAATGGCGACAGAAAGTATCTTATTTATATATAGATATATATATGTAATTTATATAAAATATATAGAAATTATTATATATATATATTATACACTCTCATATAATATATATATATATTCACACACATTTGGGTTAGAAAATCTATGGAGACTTCATCAATGGTACTATGTTATTAGAGAAATGCTTTAATTTTCATATTCCAATCAGATGGCATCTTCTATCCCAGCTGGTTGGGAAGGGATTGAAGATGGTAGCAAGTGCTGCACTAAGGGCACTCGCATTTGGTCATTCTCTTGAGAGCTAGGAGGGGTCAGCCTGAGGCCTGAGAGAAAGGGCTTTTGCCTGGGGTGAGAGGGTTAGAGACTTGACCTGAAAGCAGCTGCTGCCCTTGAGGTGCAGCCAGTCCTGTGTGTGGACAGAGAGAATGGCTAATGATGCTCCGCGTGGAATTGCCTATTGTTTTATGCCACCTGATGTGTCTGCATGAGAGGTTTCCTTTTTGTTCCTTTTTAAGCTGCTGTTAAACCAAAACCATGTTGTGCTACTGTGTCAGCCTTTTCATTATTGCAAATTTTACTTTTACTATTTAAGTGAATGCATAGAATCCAGTTTGCCAAGGTTCTAAAGGCTTATGAGGTCCTGAAGGAGCCAGGCCTTGTGATGGAGTAGGTGACACAGGCCTGGTTGTCCTGTCAGCAGAAGGGAGAGCAGGGGCTGGGCTGAGAGGAGGACACGCAGGACTCCACTGAGGTTCCTTTCTGGGTTCCACCAACAGGGACAGGGAGTCATTTGCCTTCCAGTTCTGTGCTGGGATGGCGGGACAGCACTTGGCTTGCTTGGCCAGCCGCGTCGTGAGTTTGATTTGGTTTTTTTTTTTGCAGCTGCTTCATATGCTCTGCTCCAGCCCCTCCCCAACAGCTGGTAGCTTATGGTTTCTTCAAGAGGAAAGTAGACTTTATGCTGTACATTTGAGCTGTAGAGCTAAGATTCGCTTGCTGGTGAGCTGTGAAACCTTGTTGCTTTTTCCCAGAGTCTGATGGCAGTGACTGTGGTCAAGGGAATCTTCACCACCACAAGTGCAGGCAGCAGGTGTGGTTCAGGTCTTCCCCCACCCCACTGTGCTCCTTTGAAGCCAACGTGCCTCCCTCGCCTCCATACTGGAGGGACGATGCAGGGGAGAACAGAGAAGTGCTTGGCCCTAGGGTTGAGGCATTTGTTTCCTAGCCCGCTGGGTTAGGGCTGGTGTCAGCAAGGCAATGTTGAGGATGCTTTAAGCACTACCAGCCAAATCCGGGAACTCTGTTAACAGTTGTCCAACCAGCAGAATGAGGCTAACTGTATAAAGCATGGGACCCAGGATGAGGATAAGGAAAGGGCAGTGGCTTTCCCTGGGCAGTACACTGACTTGAAGGCAAAGAAGGATAAAGTGACAGCCAACTGTGACTCTGGTGAGGAGGGGTGAGCAGAGAGGTTGATTCTCTGTTGTTAACTATGTGGCGAAGTCTCAGCCATGCTCAGCCCTCCCCCCTCCCAGGGAAGAGAAACAAAGATTCAAAGTAAGCATGACACTAGTTGGTTTACCAGTGTTCCTTCCAAGGAGACATATATTTTTTAATAAACGATAGTTGCAATGAACTGTGGCTCAGAGACCTTCTTGAAGTAGTTGAGAAGGGAGGGCGTGGGCAAAGTAGTGGGAAGAACATCCCAAACTTTTGGGGGCCAGAGGGCTTTCTCCTTAGTGATGATGAGCTAGCTGAGCTGGGCCGTCCTGAGGATCGGTACAGCTCCCTGCGGTGGTGACAGGCCCTTTGTGAAAGGTGGGTGCTTGGTCTTCCACCCCAGCCCCAGACACTGCTTCAAACAGCACCAACTAGATGGGAGTCCACATCTGTGGTGGCAAAATGCTGACATTTTCCCAAGAGGTACACAAGGTGGGAGAGGCCTGCTATAGCAAAGGTGTGTGTTAGAGAAAGCAGGGGCCTGATTTAGTAGTAGAGAACTGGGTGAGAAAAATGGCCAGAGAAAGTGACCTGCCAGCTACCAGTGTTTCCAAAAATGAGGGTGGGATGGGCCTAGTTGCAGAGCAGGACAGCAGTCATCCCCATCGCCTTCTGAGGAGGGGAGGGGTGCTTAGAGCAGGCAGTTCTGGCAGTTCTGACGTGGCAGGCGCCATTGCAACTTGTGCGGAGGAGTCTTAGGAAGTGCTGTCATAATTCATAAGGTCAAGAGCAACATCTGGATGAATGAGCCACCTGAAATGTGTGTGGGCTGAGCCACAGGAAGGGTGAGTCCTCTTGCTTGTGGCGCTTTCTGGTGTGCAGGTTGCTTGCTTTCCCACATTCTCTCATTTGCTAGAAGGCAGCCCAACAAAAGGGAGTCCCCAAAGAGCTCCATGAGAGCTTAAGAAAATTCATCTCCTGAGGGCAAAGAGAACAAAGATCTGGCCTATGGTCACACTGTTGAGGCTCTGTCTTCACAGCTGATGTTCTCCTAGTGGAGGTACAGCTGAAGAACATTCAGCCCCAGCACGAGAAGATACAGAGCAACTTGGAAACCCCAAAAGGAGACATACCCTTAACACTGTGCCGTGCTGTGCTGTGCCGTGTCCTGAGGGAGGAGAGAGCCCTATCTCCTCCTGGTTTTGTTGCTGACATTGCAGCTGATCATGCCTTGACTCCTTCATCTCTAACAGAGGAAGAACTGTATTATCAAACCTATGGTCTACCCATGAATAAATAAAATATTTGTTCAATCACAAACGACCAGCTTTGTCTTAAGTTGAAAGTGCTTCTAGAAATCAGTGAATGAAAACAAAATCCTTACTGCAGCAAGTGTAGAAGTCGAGTGGCTCAAGGGCGGCCCTAATAAAGATGCAGAAGCAAGTGGGAGTTGAGCCGCAGGTTTGGGAGGAGACTAGAGGGGAGGGAAAGTATCCTAAGCAGGCCAAGGCCAGGCAAAAAAGAGTGGGACTGAGAAGGGGTGCCAGCTCAAGCAGAAAAGCCAGCACTAAAGGCCAGTGGAGCCCTTTCTGCAGGGATAGTCTTTGCTTAATACTAACCACTGCAGTTAGGTGAGAAAGTGTTGAGAGAGCTGGGAATTTTCTCAAGGCAAAGCTGACAAATTAGCACTGAAGTCAAAAGCGATCCTGGATGCCTGACAACCTCAACCTGGGCCTTGGAAGTGTTCATTCAGTCTCAGCATTCCCGAGTTGTATTTCATCCCTGTTCCCACCTAGGATTTCATGGCCCTGATTCCACTAATCCTTTTATCCATCCAGCCATTTCCTTGGCACCTCTAGGACATTTTGTCATCATTGCAAATAACATTCTGAAGCTCAAATTTGTTTCCTCAAAAGCCTCTTCCCCTGTCACTTCCAAGAAATAGTACTGGCTCCTGCATACCTCGCTTCCTCCCCAGTGAATAGGGTGTCGATACCTCATTTCTTTGCCAGAAAATAGCAAAGCTGCTTTAACAAGCCCCAACTGGATTTTATCTGCAGAGCTGTTCCCATTGTGCACAACGTGATGCCCACTGACTTCTTCCATGTTAGCTTGAATGAACTACCCGTGTTTCCTTCCTTCCACCATTTCTGCTGGTAGTCTCAGCATACATACCTAACACTTGGAAGAAATGGAAAGTGGGTGGTTTGAGAATGGGCTTCAGACCTGCGTTCTCCCAGTGAAGCGCATGTGTGAGAGGATACTCTGTCTTCTGGCCTTCCTGTCTGCCTACGGCCAGTCCTGCCCAAGATGACAGAATCATCTGTCTCATGCGCTACGCCTCCCATGGGTCCTGCCACCCACAGGGAGAAGTTGAAGTCTCAGCTCCTTAGCATAGCCCTTCCACCATCAGCCCCAGGCTTTCTCTCCTGTCTCTTCTGCTGTGTCCCTTTCTGTTCTAGGCATTTGAATTCCCTGAATGCACCACAGCCCTGTTCTGTGTGCCCATAAATGCCCTCGCTGCTGCCCCATCTTGCTTAACCTGGAAGACTCAGAGACCGAGCGGGGGATGGAGAGAGAGAGAGAGAGAGAGACAGGGTCTCTGTCGCCCAGGCTGGAGTGCAGTGGTGTGATCATAGCTCACTGCAGCCTCTACCTCCCAGGCTCAAGTGATTCTCCCACCTCAGCCTCACGAGTAGCTGGGACCCCAGGCGTGTGCCACCAGGCCCAGCTAATGTTTGTATTTTCTGTGGAAACGGAGTTTCACCATATTGCCCAGGCTGGTCTCCAACTCCTGTGCTCAAACGACCCCCCTACTCTCTCGCCTTCCCGAAGTGTTGGCATTACAGGCGTGAGCCACCACGCCTGGCCTCCTCTTAATATCTCGAGACTCAGTTCAAGAATTCCCCTCTCAGTGCTCACTTTACTGAACCACCACCTCTTCTTCCCTGTCACCCTGTAGGTAGAATTGACCTTCCCACCCTGATTGCTGTATTATACCCTGTAAGGACTTTGGTCATCACTGTAGCAGCTCACATTTATTTCCTGCTTACTGTGTGCTGTACGCATACTAATTCACCTGTTGCTCAAAACAGCCCTAGAAGGCAGGTACTGTGTTTTTGTTTGTTTGTTTGTTTGTTTTTTGTGATGGAGTCTCGCTCTGTTGCTCAGGCTGGACTACAGTGGCGCGATGTCAGCTTGCGGCAACATCTGCCTCCCAGGTTCAAGCGATTCTTCTGCCTCAGCCTCCTGAGTAGCTGGGATTACAGGCGCACGCCACCACGCCCGGCTAATTTTTGTATTTTTAGTAGAGACGGAGCCTCACCATGTTGGCCAGGCTGGTCTGGAACTCCTGGGCTCAAGTGATCCACCCGCCTCAGCCTCCCAAAGTGCTGGGATTACAGGCATGAGCCACTGCACCTGGGCCAGGTACTCTTACTATCCCTGTTTCCCAGATGGGGAAACCAAGGCACACAGCTAATAAGTAGCAGAGCTATGAGCCCAAAACAGGCTGTCTGGCTGTAGCAGCTGTGCTCTTCAGCACACCAGGCCCAGGTCTCACTTTGCTTAGAACATTTTCTTGCCCCATCTCTTTGCATCTGTCTTCCTCTCCTAGACTGCTCTTTGAGAGCAGAGACTATGTCCTGTTCACCTTTATACGCCTAGCACTTAGTACAGTATCTGGCACATAGTAGATGCTCAGTAAAAGAAAAGAGCTGCACTGGTCTTTGGCTCCAGCTTGGAGGGAAGTGATTTGACCAGGTCCAAACCTGTGGCAAGTGTGAATTATTTTGGTTTGCTTTATGGAGAGCTTCCTTTCTGGAGCCACTGCCGCTTCCTCTGGAATTTCACTCCATCATTATGACTCCTCTCTTTTTCATCTTCTTCATCCATTTCTGATCCTTTATTGCTCCTTCCCCTTCTTTTCATTCTGCTGTCTTCTCACCCAGGGCTGAACCTTCTACCTACCCTGCTCTCTTTTACTAACCATCACTCGTTTATGCAACACAAGTTGAGCAAGCATCTAGAAGCCCTCAAAGGCCAGCCATTACCTTCCAAGAATGAAATTCCAGGAACCTAGATGGGAAATTGCCACATGCTTGCTCTCCCTGATGACTTCAGTTCTCTCCCATCCTGCCCCACCCCTTCCATGGGCTCCTCCCACCTACAGCTCTGATCCCTTTACTCTGTCTCTTCCCCCACCCCTAAGTGCTGCCATTGCCCTAGTCACCCAGGTTCAAGCCCTGATCTCCCCACTCTGGTCATCACATCCGATCTCCTACCAAAACGTGTGGATTATTTGCAATGTCTTTTCAATCCAGTCCTTTGTTGTCATTATCACTGCCCCTACCCTGATAGTGACAAGAGCTACTTCTTGGTGAGCACCTGCTGGTAAGCATTGTGCTTGGTGCTGGAAAGACAATGGCAAATAAAGCCTATTTTCAAGGGACCTTGAAATATCTAGTTGGGGGCAGGGGACAGCAAAGCAGGAAATGACTAAATGCATAAGTACACATTTGAGTGAATGCCATGAAGGAAGTACATAGGATGCAATGATAGAGACTAATACTTAGAAAAGGTGCCCAGGGACAGCTTCTCTGAGGAGGTGCCATTCAGGTTGAGACCTGTGAGATAAGCAGGACCAGCCTGGTAGGGGAGGGGACATGGGTGTCCGGGAGGGAAATATTTCACACTCCACTGGCCCTAATCTGCTTGTCCAGCATTATCTCCTGATACTTCTCTACAAACCAATCTAGACTCTGACTTTTTACCCATGAGCAAGCCCTCTGTCTGGAGTGTGTTCAGTCCCCATCTCTTATTTAATGAAACCCTTCAAGCTCCAGCTCAAATGTCACCTTCCATGATCATGTCACTGATCACTGCAGAGGAGCTTCCCCTTCCCTCCTTTTGAACTGCTCTAGCAGTTGGTACTGAACACACTCTGTTGTTGCAGGGTAGCAATTTGTCAATAATACACTCTCCAACCAGTCAAAAACCTTCTAGAAGCTGGGATTGTATCTAGTGTATCTTTGTATCCCTCACAGCACATGCCTTGAACATGATTGATACTCGATAAATGATTTATGAATGAACTTCCCCTTTCTGAGCCTCACTATCTTACTCTAAAACATGAGGAAGTTGGACAAATAATCTCCAAAGCCTCTCCCAGCTCCCACACTTAATGATCATGATAAAATAGTAGAATTCTAAAGGACATGTGTTATGCTGAATCCCTCACAAAAAGCCAGTTCACACTTTTTGTGAATTTGCAGTTAAAAAATCCAAATGGTGATGCAGATGACATAAAGGGTTTAAACGGAGCTGTCAAAGAACATGGCGCTTGAGCACATTCGGTTTATACACAGTCAGACACTACAGACGGACAGGCTTGGTGCCTGCTGTGAAGAAGCAAAGAACTCCTGGGACATGCATGGACTGAGACCAGGGGAAATGGCCTTTTCCTAGCTGGGCAGAAGGGTTGCATTCCAGGACAGCTGAACAAAATAGACAACTTTGTGATAGAATCACTTCTTTCAGTCAGGCAACGAAATGGTGCTAGGGAAACATGGGAATGGAGGTGCCAAAAGAACCACAAGATGGAACCACTCCTAAGTAGAGTCGAGGTGCCCCCAGTGGCTCCTGCTGAGAGGCATTTGAGATGGGTGGGAGGGTGGTGTGGGGGCTGGGCACATCGGAGCATAGTCACAGGTGGGAGCCATAACTAGGAGGTGTGGAAACTGCCCCTGTGCCCTGCAGAGTGGAGAAACCAGGTTTGTCTTTTAGTTGGAGCAATTGCTGGCTTTGTGGCTGTTAGAATCAATGGAAGCTTTTCAACTTTCATCTTTTCTTGAGGAAATAAAAAGGCTCGCAAACTAGGTTTGCAAACTGCCACTTTCTTTTGGCTTATCAGAGAGGTTGGGAGAAATGCAAAAAAAAAAAAAAAAAAAAAAGGATTAAAAAAAATAAGGAGGTAAAAGTAAACAGATCCTGCTGTTAAGTAGAGGAATGTCAAAGGAGGAAATGACAGACACACGCTTCAGGGTCTACTAGAGTTCACGTCACTAAGGGTGAATTGGGTCATTCTAGAGAAGAAATAATAAACAATAGTGGAGGTAAAGGGGAATAAAAACCAGAGTCAAGAATATGAGTAGAGGACTAAAAAAAAAAAAAGAGAGAAAACTCCCTACATGACTGGAGCCGCCCTGTAATCATAGGCCGGAAGCCTTTCCAGGAGGCGGTGCATAGCGATCTGGGGAATGAGATAATGAAGAGAGAAATGTCAAGATTTAGTGGTTGCAGGTGACCCTGCCAGACAGCAA